CTATGATTGCCAAATAATGTGGAAAAAATGATCTCCTAAAAAGAAATAAATAAACAATTTGTTTTAAAGCTGAAAGCGAGTTTGTGGAATCAAAACTTATTTACACAAATTCAAAGAGAAATTGGACCTGGACCACTGCCATCCCTTAGAATGTTCACCTGCCTGTCCCATCTCAGCCTCTGGCTCTTAAATGACAGCTCAGCTGGGAGAAAGCCAGGCTCTGCCCACTTGTTGTATGATCTGTGGTAGAACTGGTTTTACAGGTCAGATGTGCTAACTCTGAACCTCCAGAAGAATATATTAGACCTTGGAATCTAGAAGGAGCTCCACAAGCCACAGTTTTACTTTCTGGTTGCCAACATGTCCTTTCCTGTGAAAAGGCATATTCTTGGAGCTTTAAGGTACCCAAGCACTCTCTATCTCTCCAACAAGACAACTTCTATGCCATAGGGCAAACTCAAGTTTCCCCCCTTCCATACTTCAAGGGAAATTACCCTATCAAACCTTTTCATGAAAAGAAAAAAAAAGCAAAAAGCAAAACAAACAAACGCACAACGAAGACTCCGAGCTCATGATTTATCCATCATGCTTGTTTACCTTTCATGGTCAGATGTGGCATGTTCCATATCTACACCTACTACAGGAGACCCAAGTTCAGATGAAAGTACTCTATTTTTATGAAGAGCTAATTGAGAGCCTCAGATCTAGAGCTGTATATCTGTCTCTCCCCAAAAGACTTCCCAGCACAGATGGCAAATAAGCCAAAGATAGAGATAAGCTTGTGGCAAAGAAAGGGACGTGCTAACTGGAGCTGCTTCCAGCTCACACACAAGTCAGCGTTTCAGCACTAAACTCTGCCTTCCTCACAAGTAATTCCAGATCCTCTCAGTGGAGGAGGAGGGTGAGCAAACACCATGCACAGTGTCTTTACATATACATATTTTCCTGCTGTGTGTAAGCTCTCAATGTGCAATACAAATAATTATTTAGGACTGAATTTGAAGACTCTACCTTATGCAATTTTCAAGTTGAGTCTAGGAGTCCAGAAAGAAACTAAGAAATCAGCAGTCTACAGGCAAGGTGGTCATTGGCTGGTAGGATGGGTTTCTACAGTACTGAGAAGGCCTTCCAACATTTCTCACAGACAAAAGATGGGACCTAAAAACAAGCAAAAGTTGTTACCTTTATGGAGGTAACTTATGGAGCATTTGGTAGCTGATGATTTGTGTTTGTAGTTGTATTCCTGTGACGTTAACTGTGTTTCTGAGGAACTTTGGAGTGTTTCATTCCAAGTTCACAGACAGAGAAATTTACTCAGAGAGGTTGAGTGACTAACTCAAGGCCTTGTAGTAAATGTTTGAACTTCATTTTCTTTCTACTGTGTAAGTAGCGTCATTCTTTTGATAATTTATAGGATTTCATCAGCTGGATGATATAGATACTTAAAACCTGGCCTGGATTATTTATTTTTCACATTGGTGCCTGAAATGGAATAGCTGGACATGAGTGGATTTGGCTCAAAAAGCCCATTACATCAGAGTTTTGTGTTTTTGCTCTAACAGTCTAAGTACTTTGCAATCCCAATTATAATGTAGCCAGGCTTGTCATTCACAAATGTTTGAAATAGTGTACCATTCAACTACGAATTCAAGGTGATCAATGTTTAACATGGGACTTTGCAAAATGGCAGTTAATGCCTGTATTAGTTACTGTTCTGTTGCTGTGATAAAACACTGTGATCATGGGAACTTATAGAAGAGTATTTTTGAGCTTATGGTTCCAGAGGAATTATAGTTTATTGTGGCAGGGAGGCACAGTGGCAGGAGGTGGCTGGAGCAGAAGCAGAAAGCAGAGGGTCACATCTTCACTTAGGCGCAGGAAGAGAGAGGGACTAGAAATCCAGGAAGGTTTAAGAACTCTCTAAGCCTGCCTCCAGAGAGGTGCTTCCTCCAGCATGGCCACACCTTCTAAAACCTCCCCAAACAGCACCATCAACTGGGACAAAATGTCCAAATACTTGGAGCCTATGGGGACATTCTTATTCAAACACCACAACATCCTCCCAGGATTAAAGATGCCCCCAGGGGAGAACTACAGGCTTTGTTTCTTGTTAAAATTCAATCCTTCTTTGTGGTAAAGTAAGATGACACAGAGGGTTCTGGCAAGTTCAACCCAGAGTTGTTTCTTCTCCAGCAGATTTTGCTGAATTAAGAAAGCTAGGTGATACAGACACACTTTACTCTGGAATGGAGAGAAGGGGGAGGTGGGGGGTGGGGTGGGGAAGGTTAAGAAAACAGATGAGGTCAACTGGGACATGGAAACAAAAGTTGCTTTTTTACAATTTTATCAAAAGCTAGCCCTGAGTTTGTAAGGACTCAAGAGAAAGCATGATTAAGATTAAAAATAACCTTTGGTAAAAATGCAAAGATGACTGCATTGTCTCAATTACCACAAACATCCTCCTGTGGTGTTTGTACAGATGCCTGTGCTTTTTGTAGGAGCAGGTGTAAGAGGAAAAACACAGACCCATTTTATTATTTCACTGTAAATGCTCCCTTAGATACTTCATTAGTGACAGTTGAAACAATCATAACAGTAAAAACAAATAAATCTATTTCAAATTCTACTATATAGGGGCCATTTAAAACATAATCTCTCATCTATGAATATGTCACAATGAAACACTGTACTCTGTGCAGTTAATAGACACTAATAAAATATAGCAGCACAATCATTTTTAGTATAGAATGTTTGGTAATGATAATGTACAACTACGTTACTGGTTTACTTATTTGTTATGTCATACTTTTTGTTGTTACTTTAGCAGCTGCTTCTATTTATAAAAATCATTAAAGGGAAATGAGAGATGACTCAGCAGTTAAGAGCACTGGCTACTCTTGCAGAGTACCTGAGTTCAAGTCCCAGCATCCACATGGTAGCCAAAAACTGTCTATAACTTCAGTACCACGTAATCCAATGCCCTCTTCTGACCTTACAATACATGCAGGCAAAATATTCATGCACATCAAATAAAAAATAAATTTAATCTTTTAAAAGTCATTTAAAATGTACAATCTCGGTGACACTTGGAAACCCACAGAAAGCTTTAGTACATTTTGTTTAGGGACTTTATTTGCTGTGGTAGAATTAGAATAACATTTTTCTACTTGTTTGGGGTTTTATTGAGATATAATTAACAAATAAAAAGAGTGCATTATGTTTTGACATATGTTTTATTGGCATACATGTCATAGTCAAGCTAATGATCATATCCATCACCTGACATAGTCACTGTTTTGTGTGTGATAATCCTTTACGATCTACTCTCTTAGCACATATAGAACATATGATATATTATGAACTACACTCACTGTGGTGTTTAAAAGAGAATGTCCCTATAGGCTCCAAGGATTTGGACGTTTGGTTCCCAGTCTGTGGCACTGTTTGGGGAAGGTTGTGGAACCTTTAGGAGGTGTGGCCATGCTGGAGAAAGCACATGACTAACAGAGGGCTTTGAAAATTCTTAAACTGTGCCAGATTTCCAGTCTCTTGCTGTTTCCTGTGCCTGCTTGAAGATGTGATCACTTGTTTTTCTGCTCTGGTCACCTCTGCTACTATGTGTCCCCTGTCTCTATGGACTCTAACCTTCTGAACTACAAGCCAAATAAACTCTTCCTTCTCTAAGTTGTCTTGGTCATGGAGTTTTATCACAGCAATAGAAAACTGATACAAATGGTAGAGTAAGGAAGACCTGATTTCTCCCCAGAGGAACCACAAGGCCAATGGTCTTTAGCTAGCTTTGACAAAGAATAGAACAGAAATTAAGGAATTCCTAATCTTGTGATAAAACCAAAATTATCTATACCTCAGTTCAAAGAAAGTTATGTGCTTTTAAAAAAGTGATACAGAAGTCGGGCACGCTGGTGCACTCCTTTAAACCAATAGAAAAGTAACTAATATAGAAGTTCATACCAGGAGTGGGGCATTGCTGTGACAGACCTGACCATATTGTTTTTGGAGGATTGTGGAAGTGTTTGGAACTTTAGGCTGGAAAACCCATTGAGCACTCAGAGTTTAGTGAATTGTTGCTGTGGAAGTTTGGACAGTTATGCTGAAGAAAAATGTGGATGATGCAGGCCTGGCTTGTGGCTTTTCAAGGGAAGCAAAGACTATTACAGGTGTTTGTGTGATATTTTGAATCGAGAATCTGTGGTTTCTGGTTGTCTGGGGCTGAAGAATGAGTTGTGATTAATAAGAAACTAGCACCATTGAAGTGAAACCTTTGCTTTACTGGGAAAATTGATGCTTGTTAGCTGAAGTTGAAAAAGCAGCTGTGATTAAGAAGAGACCAGCATCACTGAGGTGAAATCTTCTGGTCAGTATTTCCTCAGGGTCGGCACATAGAGGCTGTTGTCCAGAGAGGCCTGAGGCTCCATCTCAAGCTGGAAGCAGGACTGGTAATGTGTAAGAGTGTCCTATGCAGTACTGATTTTGAAGGCATGACAGGTCCTGAAGAGCAGCTAGGGCCTGACATTGTGAGATGCCAGGAAAAGCCATTCACTGGTAAAGTTACAGCCTCACTTGCAGTGAAAATCCCCAGGACTGTAGGGGTCATAGAATCTGAGGCTTGACACTCTGAGAGGCCAGGAGAGCCCATTGGTGAAAATGCAGTCTGTTTCAGTAGCGATCCTAGCATATTGGAGATGCTAGAACCATGGAATGACCACCAAGTGCAGCAGCAAGTGTGGAATGAGGCCAGCCTGAGCCTATGAGACAAGCTGTGTGTGTTGTGAATGGCAGAGTCAGGAAAATGGAGCTGTCCAAGTCATTTGGAGCCCACAAGGTCATGAGTGAATTCCAAAGTCCAACACCAAGCTACATTGCTAGACTTCAGTTTTAATTAAATGTGTTCAGTTCTTCCCTCTTGAAATAAGGCAGTGTATAACTTATTGCAGAAGTCCACAGTTGAGAGATTTTGGATTATTTTTTTCCCTCAGAGAATCAAACAGGAGCAATCAGGGAGCAAGTCCTGATTGCTCAGAGATGCTAATCATGCATCATGCAAACTCCAGTCATCATTTTCTATCTGCCCTCCAAAGGGAGGAACAAATAGGGGTTATTCCACCTGAGGATTGATTATTTTAGAGAGATGCTGAGCTTTTAAAGTGCTTGAATTTTTAAGGACTGTGGGAATTTTAAAGTTATACTGTTTTATGTTATATTATTGATACTAACATGAGCTCTTGGGGATAAGAAATAGAAAGGTTGTAGTTCAATAGTGGTGTGTTTGTATGTCAAGTTGACAAGGGGTCAATTGTGTTGGATAGCTTTAGTTGTCAACTTGACATATCTGGATAGAGGGAGAAGGTGGTCCTGTGTTGTATTAGAATGCAGACTGAGGGCTGGAGGGATGGCTCAGCAGTTAAGAATACTGGTTGTTCTTGCAGAAGGCCCGGGTTCGAATCTGAGCACCCACATGGCAGCTAACAACTCTCCGTAACTCCAGTTCCAGGGGATCCGACAGCCTCTTCTGACCTCCGTGGGGAATGTACAACACACGGGGCCATAGGGGCCAGGGGAGCAAGCCAGTAAGCAGCATTCCTCCATGGTCCTCCTCCATGGTCTCTGCTCCAAGTTCCTGTCCTGAGTTCCTGCCTTAGCTTCTCTTGATGATGAACTGTGCTGTAAGCCAAATAAAATGTTACTTCACCACATTCGTTTTGGTCAGTGTTTTTATCACAGCAATAGAAAGTAACTATGTGCTTTAAGTCTCCAGAACACATTTAAGCCAGAGCCAAAACCTTGCACATCCTCATCTTATTCTAACCCCCTCTACTCCCAGGAATCACCATGCTTTCTCTCCGTCTGAACTTTTAGTATTCCACACGTGAGTGAGATTATGCAGTATCCATCTTTCTGTCTCTGACTTAAGGCACTTAGCATAATACACACTGAGCTGATTCACTTGTCATGAATGACAGTTTCCTTACTTTTTTAAGGCCAAAAAGTATTCCAACGTGCTGTATATCATATTTTATTTATGAATGGATCCATCAATGGTCATTTGGGTTGATTTCCTGTCTTGGCTGTTGTGACCAGTGTGGCAATGTAGGTAGGAGTGCAGACATCTCTTTGCATCAGTAATTTTAGTTCCTTAGGGTACATACCCAGAAGTAAGATTGCCGATCATGTGGCAGTCCTATTTTGATTGTCTGTTTTGATTCTGTTTCAGTAGTATTTATTAATATAAATTCTCACAAAAATGTATAAATTTTCACTTTCTTTACATCCTCACTTAAACTGTTAATTTTGACTTTTTGATAATAATGATTCTAACAGGTACCTGATGCTATGTTTTTTTGTGGTTTTGATTTTCATTTTCCTAAGGCTTAGGGATGTTAAGCATCTTTCCATATAACAGCTCCACCTGTCACTGCTGCAGCTCCTATAATAGAAAAGAAAGGTCTCCTGTGTGTGTGTGTGTGTGTGTGTGTGTGTGTGTGTGCGCGCGCGTGCATGCGCTCATGTGTGTACTGGTGCATGGTTTGTATGGGTAAATGCGCACATGTGTATGTGCACGTTGAGGCCAGAGGACAAACTTGGGTGTCATCCTCAGGAAGGCTGTCTACCTCCTTTGAGAAGATCTCTCATTAGGCTGAGAAAGACACAACTGTACACAGTTGTGTATACATGGCCAGCCAGCTCCAGGGATAAGCTGGTTTCTGCCTCCCCAGCATCAGGATTAAAAGTGCACAGCACACTTGGCATTTTTATTTGGATTCTGGAGATCAAATTCAGAGCTTCAACCTTGTAAGGTCGAGCCTTAATAACAGAGCTAGCCTCCCAGTCCCTTTTGTTTACTTTTATGACAGGGTCTCATCAGAGTTGCTGTGTAGTTGAAGATGACCTTGAATTCCTGATCCTCCTGCTTCTACCTCCCAAGTGTTAGGTTTATAGGCATGAGCCACCATGCTCAGCCTTTCTTTTCCTTCCTTAGGAAGAATGTTTCAGGCCCTTTGCCTACTTTTAAATTAGGCTACGTGTGTGTGTGTGTGTGTGTGTGTGTGCGCGCGCGCGTGCAATTGAGTTTTATGAGTTCCTCATATATGTTGGATATTACTCCCTTAATAGATAAAGGGTTTACAAACATTTTCTTCCATTTCATGTGCTGCCTTTTCATATTATTTATTGTTTCTTTGCTGAGTGTTACTTTTGCTGGTTAATTTTTGTCAACTTGACACAAACTAGAGTCACCTAGGAAAAGGGAACCGAAATGGAGGAATTTCATCAGATTGGCCTGTGATTATAACTGTGAAGCATTTTCTTAACTGATAGTTGATGTAGGAAGACCCAGCCCACTGTGGGTGGTGCCTACCACAGGCAGGTGAACCTGGGCTATATAAGTAAGGTAACTGAGCAAACTAGGGGAAACGAATGAGTAAGATGCATTTCTCTGTGGTCTGCTTCAGTTCCTGCCTTGAGTTCCTGTCCCAACTTCCTTCAATAATAGACTGTGACACAGAAATATAATCCAAATAAACATTTTTTTCCCCAGGTTGGTGTTGGTCAGTGTCTTATCACAGCAAACCAAAGTAACCAAAGTACATTCGTAACCAAAGAAGGACACTGAACAAATATTTTAGTTGAATGTAATCCCACTTTCTTGTTTTTGCTTTTGATGTCATACCAAAAAATAATAAAATAAAAAAATCACACAAACAGAAAGTACCATTGCCCATCCGATGTCATGGATTTCCCCTAAATATTTTCTTCTAGTTATTTTACAGCTTCAGATACAATCTCATGCTTATGCTTTTAATCCATTTTCCATTTTCAGTTGTCTTTTGTGTATTTTGTATGTAGACCAAGACAGGCTCCTTTTGGGGGGGTCTGTGCATGTCCAGTTTTCCCAGTAACATTTATTGACCAGACTAATCTTTGCATGTTTGTGCATTCCTGTGATTTTTGTGAAAGATGAGTTTTCTACAGATATGTGGGTTTATTTCTGACCTCTCCACAGATACGTATACATAAAAGTGAAAATGTACAATTTACATTTGGAAGTAAACATACTGCGTTTGTCTTTCTACATCTCGCTTATTTCACCTACACAACAATTTCTAGTTCTGTCCATTTTCCTGCAAACTCCATGTTTCCATTAATTTTTTTGATATAAAAAATCACTATTGTAATAAACCTACAAATAAAAACATCACTTTTTTTAACAGCTGAAAAAATCCCGTTGCGTATATGTACCATATTTTCTTTATCCATTTATCTGTTGGTGAACATTTAGACATCACAGCTGACCCAGTTTCTTAGTTATTGTGAATAATGCAGCAATTAACATGGTCTATGTGGAGATTCGGAGGACAACTTTCAGGAGTCAATTCTCTCCTTCTACCATGTGGGTTCAAGAGATCAAACTCAGGCTGTCAGACTTGGCGGCAGGTGCCGCCATCTTCTGGTCCTGTAATTGGATTTTAAAGTAAAAAGTATAATATTTTATAAGGTGACCATAGAAATGAAGAGCAAAAATTATATCATGATGTGGTTTTGTTAAAAATATAAATAAATGAAAAATTTTTTCAGGCAACTCTTGCTTTCATTCTGCAGAAATCAGCCTACTCTTATATACCTGGAACTCAATAGCATACCAGCATATCCTGTAATCTATGCCTGCCTAGCCGAGGACTCATTCTAGCACAAATCTGGTACCTAGAGATAATGAAATAAGATACCAGTCAGCACCTTCACATTCCTTCATTGTCATCATGACTCAATTGGCACCTAAGCCATAAACACTCTTTCAAATGATGCTCTAGATGTTGATGTTTACCCTGAAACTGTCATTTCCCAAGGGCAGTGATGCATACCAGAGGCCACAGAGGCTGCAAATCCATCTTTGCTGTCTCCTATTCCCTTGTCGTCACTGGTTCTGACACCACTGATAATGCTTTTGTCAGTTTCTGAGGCACTTTGCTGCTGCGGGTTTCTGGGTTTCATTGCTCCCTTCAGGCCAGTTTAATGGAGCAGAGTTGGAAGATTGTATTTTCCCACGTACATACAGGGTTAACCCTATACTATCCATGAGTCAGAATAGCCTCCCTGGAGTTCAAGGTTAGGATGCTGTATTAGTCACTTTTCTGTTGCTGTGATAGAAACACTGACCAAAACAACTTATAAAAGGAAGAGTTTATTTAAACTTACAGTTAAAGGGGAATAACAGTCCATCATGGTCGGGAGGCATGATGGCAGAGGTGTAGGAGGAGCGGAAACTAAGCTCTCACATTATCAAGCAGGCACAGGAAACAAGAGAGCAACTGGAGATCTGGCTAGCCACACCTTCTAAGGCTAGCCACACCTTCTAAGCCTCCCAAAACGGCACCACCATCTGGGGACAAAAATGTCCAAATATTTGGAGCCTATGGGGGACATTTTCATTCAAACTACCACAGATGTTCTCCTGGGACTTCTACAAGCTCCCAAACCCAAGTTCTTGCTAAAATAAACAGGAGGACCCTAGAGATGGCTTGGTGAGTAAAAGCACTTGTTGCTCAAGCCTACTTATATTCACTTCCTGGAACCCATAGTGGAAGAAGACAATGGATTCCAGAAAGTTCTTCTCTGACTGTGGCATGCATGTACCCTATAGGCACCAGCACACACACACAAACACCCACAATAATAATAACACATAAAATAAATTTAAAGGAAAGAAGGAAAGCTGGTATTCTCTTGGAGAGAAGAATGGTGTTTATTTAAAGATGATTAGTGCCTTGTGTTTCCCCATCCCAAGACTATTGAGTCATAGTAATGACTTGACTGATGTCTATTTTACTGTTGGACAGGAAGTATCCAAAGGCAGTGCTCAACACATAGTAAATATCCAATGGCAGGGTTCAATTACAGTCCTGTGAACAAAGTAACAGTGGCAACACTTAGCAGCACCAGGGATGTCTGGCATTCATGTTGCTTGTGCCACACTGGACATTGCTATTTATGCTTTTCATTAATATTTCATTTGTACATAACTCACTGAGATAAACATCACATCTTGCAGATGATAAAACTGAGGCAAAAGCTGGTCCAATAACTTAGCAGCCAGACAGTCAGGAAGTGAGGTGGTTGC